GGCCGGGGCCGGGGCCGGGACTGGGGCCGGGGCCGGGGCCGGGGCGGGGCGGAGGCCGGATCTCGCGGAGGCCAGGGCCGGGGCCGAGGCCGGGCGGGCGCCGCGGGCAGCCCACGTCCGGCGCACCTGGAGGCGGGTCGCCCCCACCTGTCACCGGCGGCCCGCGGCCTCGCCCGGCCGGAAGGGCGGGGGGGCACAGGCAGTGAACCAAAATGGCGACGTTTTTCTGTAGGAGGAGGCAGGAAGACGGCGCCGGCGCGGGGCGCGGCGCGGGTCCGGGCGTGCGGGGCGGGGGTGGCGACGGGCCGGGCCCCGGGGCCCGCGCGGGGCGGACGCCGGGGGAGGCTGGGTCGGGCCAGCGGCCGGCGCTTACCTGCGGCGCCGGGGGTGCGGCCGGGCCGGGCCGGGCCGGGCCGGGGCGCGGGGTCCGGGCGGCGTCGGCTGCGCGCCGCGCTGCGCACATGCGCGCTCCCGCCCCTCCCCGCTTTGACAGTTTTACTGCGGTGGGGGGGGCGAACTCTCGCGGTATTCCTGCGGCCGCCGTGCGGCGGGGAGGGGGCCGCGTGCGGCCTCCGAGAGACCCGGCCTCCGCCCCGCCCCGGCCTCCCCAGACCCCGGCCTCCGCCCCGCCCCGGCCTCCCCAGACCCCGGCCTCCGCCCCGCCCCGGCCTCCCCAGACCCCGGCCTCCGCCCGGCCCCGGCCTCCCCAGACCCCGGCCTCCGCCCGGCCCTGGCCTCCCCTGCCCCGGCCTCCCCAGACCCGGCCTCCGCCCCGCCCCGGCCTCCCCAGACCCCGGCCTCCGCCCGGCCCCGGCCTCCCCAGACCCCGGCCTCCGCCCGGCCCTGGCCTCCCCTGCCCCGGCCTCCCCAGACCCGGCCTCCGCCCCGCCCCGGCCTCCCCAGACCCCGGCCTCCGCCCGGCCCCGGCCTCCCCAGACCCCGGCCTCCGCCCCAGGCGGTGCTCCCGCCCGTAGTGCGGGGAAGCCTCTATGAAGAGGAGCAAACGGAGGCACTCAGGCCCTGGCCTCCACTCAAGCCGCACAACCTCCAGTCCTGGGCCCGAGCTCAGGACCTGTCCTCCCCGCAGCTAGCACCGTGGCCGCCCGTGTGCTGTGGCTACCCATGTGCCCTGCCCGCCCGTGTGCCCTGCCCGCCCGTGTGCCCTGGCCTCCCGTGCGCCCTGGCCTCCCGTGCGCCCTGCCCGCCCGTGTGCCCTGGCCGCCCGTGCGCCCTGGCCTCCCGTACGCCCTGGCCTCCCGTGTGCCCTGCCCGCCCGTGTGCCCTGCCCGCCCGTGTGCCCTGGCCTCCCGTGCGCCCTGCCCGCCCTGCGCCGTGGCCTCCCGTGCGCCCTGGCCTCCCGTGCGCCCTGCCCGCCCGTGCGCCCTGGCCGCCCGTGCGCCCTGGCCGCCCGTGCGCCCTGGCCGCCCGTGCGCCCTGGCCTCCGTGTGCCCTGGCCGCCCGTGTCACCCTGGCCGCCCGTGGGCCCTGGCCTCCGTGTGCCCTGGCCGCCCGTGGGCCGTGGCCTCCGTGTGCCCTGGCCGCCCGTGGGCCCTGGCCTCCGTGTGCCCTGGCCGCCCGTGGGCTGTGGCCTCCTGTGAACGTGGCCGGGGCGGCCCCCAGCCACCACTCAACCCCAGCCTCTCCCAGCGCAGCGGGCAGTAGCCCTGGACCCGCGGCCAGGCCTGGTGCCGGCTTTGAGCCCAGAACCTGGTTCCCGGAGCCAGGCCCAATGTTAACAAGACCCCACGTGGAGACCAGCACTGTGCTGACTCAGGTGAGCTGGAGGCAAGCGCAGGCTGACGGCAGGAAGGCAGAAGACCGGTCGGGCCTGATGAACCCCGCAGGTCGGCCGACCCCAGCCTGCGTCCAGAGCCCCGTTCATTCTTGCTGGTCACCGCACACCTCTCCCTGGTAGGAGCTCAGAAAGCTGGGTTTCCAGTTTGTGCCCACAATACCGTTGTAACCTTGTCTAATCATGTGTATTGATGACTTTTATTCTTTTTGTCGGCCTCAGGACTAGGCACTGTTCCACTTTGAGCCACAGCTCCACTTCTGGTTTTCTGTTATGTGTAGAGAAGAGTTTCAAGGACTTCCTGCCCAGGCTAGCTTTGAACCCTGATCCTCAGATCTCAGCCTCCTGAGGAGGTAGGATTATAGGTGTGAGTCACCAGTGCCTGGTCTAGAACTGACTTTAAAGGTATGTTTTTGGTTTTGATGGGGGTTTTTTGGGTCTGCATTGGGGCTTGAACGTTGGGCTTGGGCACGCTCCCTGAGCACTTCAGCTCAAGGCAAGTGTTCTACCACTTGAACCACAGTGCTACTTCTGATTTTTCTGGTTGTTAATTGGCCATTAAGAGTCTCACGGATTTTGCTGCCCAGGCTGGCTTTGCACTGTGATCCTCAGAACTCAGCCTCCTGAGTAACTAGGATTATTGCTGTGAGCCACAGGTGGCTGGTTTCAAGACCTTTCAAAATCTACTTGGCCTGAGGCCTACACAGAGTGCTCTACACAGAGGCAGGATTGGGCCCTGTGTAGAATTCAATCCATTGGTCCTTTCCTTGGAACTGTAAGCCAAAGGAGAGGCCAGTGTGCACAGTCTCCCCCAGTGAACCCAAGAGGAAGAGAGCATTGTTCTCATAATAAATACCCTCACCTTTTTTGTCAGTGTGGGATGTTGGGAGGGGTCAGTGTGTCACCCCAGGTACACCAAAGTTACAAGCTTTCCCTGTGTAAATCTGGATACAGTGGGATATGTGAGCGTCCATAAGCGTGCGTCTGACTGTGTGTCGGGTGGCATCCCGTGCTCGATCACAGTGTGATGTGATAGGTGCTCGTATCTGCACGTCCTGTACCATGTAAGATTGATACTCACCTGTATCTTAGTATCCAGGTGATTAGACCTTAGGGTACATATCTATATCTTAGCATAGGTTCATCTAGGGTATGACACCTCATGTAAATATTAAATATCTGTCTCACCAGGTGAAGGACCAATTGCTTTCTGTGTATCCAGATGTCACAGTATGGTGTGATACGGCAGAGTTGTGTACATCATGCATGTGCTGTGCAGTAGTATTTGTCTGTAATGACATCTGTGTATGTGAGGTTGTTATTCTACATCCATGGGAATCATTTCGTGTGTGTGTCTCCCTAAACACACAGGTGTGTTTATCTTTGTTGAGGCATATTGTTGTATGTCTGAATGTTATACCATTTTGTTTTTCTGTGTATGTGTCTATGGTTTATACCTCTGTGTTCCTATTTGTATGTCTGGTGGCTGTGTGTATGTGTGGCAGGTGGGTGCTCTGATCTGTGTGCTCTGTCAGGGCAACCTCTGTGTGAGAATGAATAGTGAGCTCTAACAGATGACCATATCGACTTCCTGAACTTGTGACTGGGCTTTTATTTGGGGGGAAAAAAAGTCTTTGCCAATTTGATTGAATGATAGGTCAACTTGGATTACGCAAGTAGGCCCTAACTCTTAACTTTCCCTGTGAGGACAAACAGGGAGATTTGAGGCAGAAGAGCGACGAGACACAATGTGTCCTTGAGCCAGTCCCAGTCAGGAGGAGCTGGGAAAAGCAAGGACGCGGAGGGAGTAGAGCCTTGCTGATTTCTTATCTATAGAACTATATATTTTTTCTTTTTCTCCTCCTCCCTCCTATTGTTTTTCTTTTTTGTGTTCACAGGATCAGAACCTTGTGCATGCTTTACCAATGAGCTACACTATCAGTCTCTGTTGTAGAAGCTACTATTCACAGTTCTTTATTACAGCAGCCCCACGAACACGTGTCTGGGTTGTCTGTCGGTAGCTTCTAGTGGGGGGGGTTGTGTGCTAATCCCTGGGTACCATTCACAAGCCCTTGCCTCAGGCTTCTTGTCCTCTCACTGGGGCCCCAGAGTTAACAGGAAGCACTTCCAGGACTTCACACCACTGCCTCCTAGTGATCTCCACTGCAGGTCCTATGCTAGATACTTGAGGTTTTTTGTTGTTGTTGTTATTTGTTGACATTTGTGGGGCCTGAACTCTGGGCCTGGGCACTGTCCCTCAGCTCTTCAGCTCAAGGCTAGTGCTCTTCTGGTTTTTTCTGCTTATGTGGTGCTGAGGAATTTAACCCAGGGCCTCATGCACATGAGGCAAGCACTCTATCACTGAGCCATCTTCCCAGCCCATATGCTAGATACTTGAACCCTGCTTCCTAGTGATCTCCCACTGCAGGTGCTATGCTAGATACTCCTTCCTCCCAGACCCAGCACTTTGGGCACTTACTTGTCAACCAGGTTTATTTCTGATTTTTTTTTTTTGTCAGAGTATAAAAAAGTGAGGGAAAAACAAGGAAGACAAGACAGGAACACTGGATAGACGAGTTAGAGGAGGGAGAGGGGCAGAGATGGGCCCTCTGACTGGAGGTGGACAGGGATACTGGGAGCAGCCAGGTATGCCAGGGGCCCCTGGTGGGTGGGGTACATACAGCATGAAAGGCATCAGGCCAGTGGTCCAAATTCTACTTGGTACCTGCAATGGTCTACTTCAAGTCCCAAGGGCAGCTCTTGGCACACAGACTGGAGGCTTAGCCTCACCTGTCCCTGAGATTTTCAAATTCCCTGGGGGGAAGGGGAAGGGCAGAAGAATGAGAAGGTGGCTGCAAAGACCACACTTATTATTCCTCTGCCAGGCAGCACCAGCCCCCAAACACCCAGGAAGGGGCTGCTCAGGTGCCTGGTGGCAGATGTGAGGGGAGATCCTCACGAGAGTCTCTCCTGTAAATGCACATTTTCTGGAGAAAACAACAAGAGGAGACCCACATCAGGACTGCTTCTTGAAGGTGGTCTCCAAGAGCCAGGGATTTGGGATGATGCCTAAAAGCGAGACTCTCCAGAAGGTAAGGCCAGAAGTGCTGCTGATCTCGGTGAGCTGAACAGGGCTGGAGACCTTTCAGTACCACATTTTGTCTTTGGGACATGGGCACCCTGGGCCTCTCTCTGCCTCTGATTTCAGGAGTAGGTGGCAAAGATTTCATAATGACTGAAGGCCTTGCCGCGGTGTCTGGCTGGGTTGGTGCCTACTCAAGGTCGTTACTCTGAACCATGGTTTGGGCCTGCTGGGAGGGGGAGGGTAGGGGCCAGAAACACAAGCCGAAGGGAGCCAAAGCAGATTGTCCCACTGTCAGCTGACTGGTGGCACCCGGGAGGGCACAGACTGGAGGAGTCAAGAGAATGATGGGTGAGCCAGGTAATGGCAGATGGTCACAAGGTAAAGGGAATGTAAATAAACAGACTCCCTGGGAGTCCGGGGCCATCCAAACCCCGTTCTGGCTCCAGGAAGCTGCCCTGCCTGCTGCAAGCAGCACCAGGGAGTGGGCCTGGGCTTGGGTCCCAGGAGGAGGGGCTCCACACAAGTAGCCCCTCCCCTCCCCCAGGGCACAGCCTGGATTGCCAACCAGAGGCATCTGAAGGTTGTGGTTCTGGTCCTGCCTGTTCATTGGGAGGGGTTTAGCCATTCGGGCATCCTGCCAGCGTCCAAGTGGGGCCAGCTCTGCCTCATCCTTGGCTGTGGGCTCCGGTCACAGTGTTGGGGTCTGGGGTCCAGGCCCGGGCAACAGCTACAGCATGTTTCCGAAGGAAGCTGTGGGAGGGACAGGTGTGAGAAAACCGGTCTACCACCTCTCACTCCTTGCCAGGGCCTCCAGTGGCCCTTTTCCCATGACACCACTCGCCCTGCACTTTGGGCTCAGTCGCCCTCAGTCCGGCGCTCCGATCCTCCCACTGACCTTGGCTGAGCAGCTGTAGGCTCCGCCCCTCCTCCCGCACCTGCAGGCGGAGCACCTGCTGCAGCACCTCCTGTCTCTGTGCCTCCTGCGCCAGTCCCATCCGCTGCAGCTTCTCTGCATTCAGCCGGAGCAGTGCTCGGCCTGGGGAAAGAGGGGAGAGGAAGGAGGGCCCCAGCAAGGCCAACAGGTACACCAAGGCAGACAGTGCCTCAGAATAAATTGAAAAAATAAGCCGGGCACCAGTGGCTCAGACCTGTCATCCTAGCTGCCCCAGGAGGCAGTTCAAAGCCAGCCTGGGCAGGAAAGTCTGTGAGACTCTTATCTTCAATTAATCACCAGAAAACCAGAAGTGGCGCTGTGGCTTATGTGGTAGAGCGCTTGTCTTGAGCTGAAGAGCTGAGAGACAGCACCCAGGTCCAGAGTTCAAGCCCCACAACCGACCCCCCCAAAAAAAATTGAAAAAAAAAAAAAAAAAGCAAGCCAATGCAGGGACAAGAAAGAAAGGGGAGGCTAGGTAAAGAAGTACCTGATGAAGACAGAACAGTGTGATTGGAAGGGACACAGACACACACAGTAAAGACCCAGCAGGGAATGTGGCTCAGAGAGCGTGGGAGCCTGAGGGAGGAGGTGCTCTCTGCAGACGCTGCCCATGGCCCCAGCATACCAGTGATGGCGTGCTGGGAGAAGGCCTCGACATAGACAAGGTAGTTGTGGGGACAGTGCTTCTTGAGCCACTTGCAGACGTCCTGCTGGCTCCACAAGACCACAGGCCGGGTCAAGCCACCCAGTGAGGGACTTGTGTGGTACAGGCCGTAGTGCTCAGAATACAGACGGCCCTGCAAGGAAGGACGGACGGCATGTGGCGTGGGGGCGACAGCAGAAAGGAGGGGCTCGGGCTGGGTGGGCAGGCAGGCACCTGGGAGGCCTCTGTGCCAGGCTGCGGAAGAAGCTTGACTGGTCTGCTGCTGGAAGCCCTCTGGCTCCGGGAGTCGTGCCATGTGAGGCTTGTGCCCGGTGTCCGAGGCAGGTGGCAAGGGATGCTCTCCGCTGACACAGTGTGCTCCAAGAGGGTCCGGCAGAAACTCAAGTGGGCAGTGGCTGTGTGCAGGTTGCCCAGTCAGAGTGGTTATGGCCGGGGCCAGAGATTAATCTCCCCCCTCCCCCCCCCCAGAGCCAGGGCCAGAGGCTCATCCTACCCCCTCAAGAACCAGGCCCAGAGGCTCATCACCCCCCCCCCACCGAGAACCAGGGCCAAAGGCTCATCACCCCCCCACCGAGAGCCAGGCCCAGAGGCTCATCACCCCCCCACACCGAGAGCCAGGCCCAGAGGCTCATCCTACCCCTCCAAGAACCAGGCCCAGAGGCTCATCACCCCCCCACACCGAGAACCAGGGCCAAAGGCTCATCACCCCCCCACACCGAGAGCCAGGGCCAGAGGCTCATCCTACCCCTCCAAGAACCAGGCCCAGAGGCTCATCACCCCCCCACACCGAGAACCAGGGCCAAAGGCTCATCACCCCCCCACCGAGAGCCAGGGCCAGAGGCCCCCCCCCCCATCAGAACCAGGGCCAGAGGCTCATCATTCCCCCACTGAGAACCAGGGCCAGAGGCTCATCTTCCCCCCTCCCCCCCCCCCCAGAACCAGGGCCAGAGGCTCATCATTCCCCCACCAAGAACCAGGGCCAGAGGCTCATCATTCCCCCACCAAGAACCAGGGCCAGAGGCTCATCATTCCCCCACCAAGAACCAGGGCCAGAGGCTCATCATTCCCCCACCAAGAACCAGGGCCAGAGGCTCATCATTCCCCCACCAAGAACCAGGGCCAGAGGCTCATCCCACCCCCCCCTACCAACAGCCAGAGGCCCCCCCCCCCCAGAACCAGGGCCAGAGGCTCATCATTCCCCCACTGAGAGCCAGGGCCAGAGGCTCATCCCAACCCCCCCTACCAAGAGCCAGAGGCCCCCCCCTCAGAACCAGGGCCAGAGGCTCATCATTCCCCCACCGAGAGCCAGAGCCAGAGGCTCATCCCACCCCCCCCACCAAGAGCCAGAGGCCCCCCCCCAGAACCAGGGCCAGAGGCTCATATCCCCACCCCTTCATCCCCCCAAGAACCAGGGCCAGAGGCTCCCCCCTCCAAGAACCAGGCTAGAGGCCCCCCTCAAGAACCAGGGCCAGAGACTCATCACTCCCTAAGAACCAGGGCCAGAGACTCATCACCCCCTAAGAACCAGGGCCAGAGGCTCATTCCCTCCTAAGAACCAGGGCCAGAAGCTCCCCCATCCCCCCAGAGAACCAGGGCCAGAGGCTACCCTTCCTCCCAGAACCAGCTCCTTGCCTAAGCCATCTTCCCTCCACCAATGAGGGGAGCAACTTCCCTACTAAGGACACCCCAGACCCCTAAGGCAGAAGGAAGTATGTGAGAGGTTTGTGTGTGTGCCTGTGCCAGTATAAGGGCTTGAACTCAGGGCCTCACACTTGCTGCGATTTCTTGCTCATGCTGGTGCTGAACCACTTGAGCCAGGCCCCGAAAGTCCTATAGAGGACTCCTCCCCTCTAACTCCACACAGCAAAGATAGCTTGAATACAGCCCACAGGCTTCTCCTGGTGCTTTCCCAGGAACCATAAACCCACGGTTAGGTGAGGGTACTGTTTCCATACCCTCCCTAGCTGCCTTGGTTCTTGCCTTAGGCATGCACATCCCATACAGAACAGAGTATACACACAGGATGGGTCTTAAGGACAAAGCTGGTCGCATTTCCTGAAGGCCCTCAAGTGAGGAGGTCTGGCTGGGGCTGCTGCTGCTCGCACCGAGGCCGGTTCCCAGTTCTAGCACCCCACCTGGTGTTTGAGACTCACCAATGAGGAGTGACCAACAAGCCTGAGCTCAAGCCAGCTACAGGGACTTTTCAAACGCATGCGGGATTTTCCTGCTGTTTCTCCTCCACAGGGCCCAGGACACGGTAAGAAGGAGTGTCTCCTAGGCCTGGGTTGTTCAACACCGGGTATGGATTGCAACCATGTGTTCGAGACTTTCTTCCCACACAACTCCTGAGACTGGCCATGTTTGGGCTTTGTGGTAATTTCTGAGATTACCAATGACCTAACTATGGGTAGGGCTGATTCTGTGTCCTTGCGGCTTGCTGGTCCAGGTCTGGGTGCACAGAGGCTCTCCACAGCACTGCAAGGGAGCGGATGGTAACCGACTCCTGGGGCCTGTCTGCAGGTCAGCGCTGGGGGCTGGGCTCGGGCTCCAGTCTCCGTGCGTCCCGGCCCTAAACGGGCAGACAGGAGACGGTCCCCGCGCCCGCGCCCGCGCCTGGCCACCTCCTGGCAGAGGTCCAAGGACCAGCCATGCTTCCAGGCTGGGGCGGGCGTGGCGCTGTCAGAGTCTGTCAGGTGCGCACCGTCTTCTCCCAGCTTCCACCTTCCCTGCCCCCATCCACACCTTGGCACTCGGCCCTGGTCACCCTGAATTTGAGGTTTAAGGTCGGATACAGGGCGCGGCCACCGCCCCAAGGCAGCCCCGGGTACCGTGGAGCCCGCACCTTCCAGGGGACACCGGGGGACACCGGCGCTGGCCTCCGAGCTTCCCGGGCCTCTGCTGGGCTCCGGGAAAACCAGCCCGCCGCCCGGGCCCCGCCCCCGCCCCGCCCGCGTCCCGCAGGCTCCGGCCCCGCCGCAGGCTCCGGCCCCGCCCGCGGTCCGAGTTCCGGAAGCCGGCCGGCCGGCCGGTGGCGAGCCCGGCGGCGAGCCCGGCCCCGCAGCCCTCCCGCCAGGGCTGGCCGCGCCCGGAGGGAAGGGCGGTCCGCGCGGTGGCAGCCTGGGACGCGGCCCCGCTCCCCGGGCTGAGGCCGCCCCGCCCGGCCCCCGCCCCGCGAGGCCGGCCGCCCCCCGCCCCGGCCCCGCCGCCGGCTCACCGTCCACATCCCGGCGCTCCCCGAAGCCCGGGCGCACAGCCCCGGCGCGGCCTCGCGGGGGGCTGAGCTTGGACCTCAGCTCGGTGAACATGGGGCCCGCGGGTGCGGGGCCCGCGCGCGCGGCCCTCGCCGGGCGCAGGGCGGCCAGTGTGGCCCGGGGCAGCGCGCGCCCGCCCGCCCGCCCGCCGGCCGGGCCCCGCGCCGCCCGCCCGCGAGTCTGCGCGGAGGCACCTGCCGCCGCCGAGCCCGTGCGCCGGGCGCGCTCCGGGGCGCCGGGGCGGCGGCGCGCGGCCGCGCGTGCGGAGGGCGTCCGCCAGGACAAAAGGCGCTGTGCGCACCTGGGCTCCGAGCGCGGCCGGGGCCGGGCGCTGAGGGCGGGCGGCCTGCACCCGGCTTCCTGCCTAGTGAAGGTACTCAGCCGCCGCCGCCTTCTCCTTCTCTTTCTTCTTCTTCTTCTTTTCTCCTCCTCGTCCTCCTCCTCGTCCTTCTCCTCGTCCTCTTTTTTTTTTTTTGCCAGGAGCAGGGACTGGGTCTGCCCCTTGTTTGGCTTGCTTGGAGCTTTACCACATGAGCCATGCTTCCAGCTCAGCTTTTCTGCTGTTTATTTTGGAAATGGAGCCTGTCCAACTTTTCTGCTTGGGTTGGCCTCAAACTGTGATCCTCCAGATCTCACTGTCGTGAGTAGTTAGGATTATAGGCGTGCAGGTGTGTGCCACCACGCCCCCTGCCCCCTTCGGCGGTCCTAGGGCCTACGCACTGTCCTGCAAGGCTAGCACTCTGGCGCTTAAGCTACCACTACACCTCAGCCCTCCCCCCCCTTTCCCTCTCTCTGCCTGAACTCTGGGCCTGGGCGCTGTCCCTCAGCTCTTCAGCTCAAGGCGAGCGCTCTACCACTTGAGCCACAGCACCACTTCCAGCTTTTTCTGAGTATGTGATGCTGAGGAATTGAACCCAGGGCCTCATGCGTGCGAGGCAAGCTCTCTACCACTAAGCCACCTTCCAAGCCCCACTTCAGGCTTCTTTTGACTAATTGGAGCCGAGTCCCGCGGACTGTTCCACCCCAGCTGGCTTTGAATCTGGATCTTCAGATCTCAGCCTCCTGAGTAGCTAGGATTGCAGACGTTGAGGCACCAGTGCCTGGCAATCTCTTGATCTCCTAGGAGGCCTCTCCCTCAAAAGAACTCCTTCTTCCCCAGAGAAACCCCTAAATCTGGCTCACTTCCCAGGGCAGAGAGGAGATCAGAGCTCAGTAACTGAAAGAGGCTTGTGTTGGGGAGCAGGGAAGAAGTGCCAAGATTGCAGGAGAGGAAGAGAAGTGTCTCCTCCCCAGTAAGATGTCCTAGAAAGTCAGGAATGGTGGTCCACACCTGTAATCCTTGCGACTTTGGAGGCTGAGAGCAGAGGGCCATGGCTCCACATGCCAAGGTGAAATGTTGGTGAGACATTTATCTCCAACTAAGGAGCTTTTCAAAAGCCAGAAGCAGAGGTGTGGCTTCAGTTGGTAAAGTGTTTAGAGTGCCAGCCTGGAGAGAAAAAGCCAAGAGAGAATGCAGGCTCTGAGTTCAAGCCCTAGTCCCAGCACACACACGCGCGCACGCACACACACACGCGCACACACATACGCGCACACACTCGCGTGCACTCATGCACACACACGTGCACACACATAGGCGCACACACACACTCGCGCGCGCACACATATGCACACACACGCGTGCACACACATAGGCGCACACATACGCACACACATGCGTGCACACACACACGCACACACACACGCGTGCACACATACGCACACACACATGCACATACATAGGCGCACACACACACTCGTGCGTGCACACATACGCACACACACACGTGCACGCACACATAGGCGCACACACACATAGGCGCACACACACATAGGCGCACACACGCGCGCGCACACATACGCACACACACGCGCGTGCGCACACACAGGCGCACACACGCGCGCACACATACGCACACACACACGTGCACACACACATAGGCGCACACACACGCGCGCGCACACACGCTGACCGCTGCTGCTGGCTCACGACTACTTCTAGCCAATCAGGAAGGTGAGATCTGAGGGCCACATTTTGAAGCCCGCCGGGCTCACACCAACGAACACCGCACACCAGAGGCGAGGCGTGGCCCGCGTGGAAGAGCGCCCTCCGGGACTGGAAAGGGAGCCCCGCCCCGGCGCCCACCGAGAGGACAGCGGCCCGGCCGCCGCGGCTCTCTCGCTGCGCGGCTGCTCGGGGAACCGCAGGCGTCCGCGGCACGGGGACGCTACCGGGTGCCGGCCCCCACGGTCCGGATGTGCAGTGGCGGGGACCGAACCCGGGCCCCGGGGCTCGGGCCGAGCGTGTGGGCAGCGTGTGTACAGGGCCCGCGGTCGGCCGGGCTGGAGGGAGGTGGGCCGGCCGGGGCCCGCTCCGAGGCAGGCCCGCGCGCCGCCCGGGGCCCGGACACCGAGCTGCTTGGAGCTGGGGCCTCGGGTTTGGCTGGGCGGCGAGCGGGGCGACCCGCTGCTTGCCTGTGGTCCTCCCGGCCACTGGCAGGCGCTGTCGCACCCAGCCCGCCGCAGGCGCGCCTCGCAGGAGCGTCGGCAAACGCGCGGGGGCGGTGCATCGGCGACTTCCGCCTCGGAGTCCTGGGGGGCGGGGCTTCTTTCTGGACTGCTTCCGGAGCGCTGAGCCGCGACGCTTCGGGCGGCGCCGCGGACGGTTCTGCGGCTCGGGGCCGGCGGCGTTTTCGTCTTTTCTTCGGTCTTCTCCTCGCCGTCGCTATGAACAAGAAGAAGAAGCCATTCTTGGGCATGCCCGCTCCGCTCGGCTACGTTCCGGGGCTGGGCCGGGGGTGAGGCCCGGACTGCGCGCGGCGCGGGGACGGGGCGGGAGGGGACGGACGGGGCGGGAGGGGACGGGGCGGGAGGGGACGGACGGGGCGGGAGGGGGACGGACGGGAGGGGACGGGGCGGGAGGGGACGGACGGGGCGGGAGGGGACGGGGCGGGAGGGGACGGAGCGGGAGGGGGACGGACGGGGCGGGAGGGGACGGAGCGGGAGGGGACGGAGCGGGAGGGGGACGGACGGGGCGGGAGGGGACGGAGCGGGAGGGGACGGAGCGGGAGGGGGACGGACGGGGCGGGAGGGGGCGGACGGGGCGGGAGGGGACGGAGCGGGAGGGGACGGACGGGGCGGGAGGGGACGGACGGGGCGGGAGGGGACGGAGCGGGAGGGGGACGGGGCGGGAGGGGACGGACGGGGCGGGAGGGGGACGGACGGGGCGGGAGGGGACGGACGGGGCGGGAGGGGACGGGGCGGGAGGGGACGGACGGGGCGGGAGGGGACGGGGCGGGAGGGGGCGGACGGGGCGGGAGGGGACGGGGCGGGAGGGGACGGACGGGGCGGGAGGGGACGGGGCGGGAGGGGGACGGAGCGGGAGGGGACGGACGGGGCGGGAGGGGGACGGGGCGGGAGGGGACGGGGCGGGAGGGGACGGGGCGGGAGGGGGATGGACGGGGCGGGAGGGGACGGACGGGGCGGGAGGGGACGGACGGGGCGGGAGGGGACGGACGGGGCGGGAGGGGACGGGGCGGGAGGGGGACGGACGGGAGGGGACGGACGGGGCGGGAGGGGACGGGGCGGGAGGGGACGGGGCGGAAGGGGGCGGACGGGGCGGGAGGGGACGGACGGGGCGGGAGGGGACGGACGGGGCGGGAGGGGGACGGACGGGGCGGGAGGGGACGGACGGGGCGGGAGGGGACGGGGCGGGAGGGGATGGACGGGGCGGGAGGGGACGGGGCGGGAGGGGACGGACGGGGCGGGAGGGGACGGGGCGGGAGGGGGACGGACGGGAGGGGACGGACGGGGCGGGAGGGGACGGGGCGGGAGGGGGATGGACGGGGCGGGAGGGGACGGACGGGGCGGGAGGGGACGGACGGGGCGGGAGGGGACGGGGCGGGAGGGGATGGACGGGGCGGGAGGGGACGGGGCGGGAGGGGACGGACGGGGCGGGAGGGGACGGGGCGGGAGGGGGACGGACGGGAGGGGACGGACGGGGCGGGAGGGGACGGGGCGGGAGGGGGACGGGGCGGGAGGGGATGGACGGGGCGGGAGGGGACGGACGGGGCGGGAGGGGGACGGACGGGGCTGGAGGGGACGGACGGGGCGGGAGGGGGACGGACGGGGCGGGAGGGGGACGGACGGGGCGGGAGGGGACGGACGGGAGGGGGACGGACGGGGCGGGAGGGGACGGACGGGAGGGGGACGGACGGGGCGGGAGGGGACGGACGGGAGGGGGACGGACGGGGCGGGTAGGGGACGGACGGGGCGGGAGGGGATGGACGGGAGGGGGACGGACGGGGCGGGAGGGGACGGACGGGAGGGGGACGGACGGGGCGGGAGGGGACGGACGGGAGGGGGACGGACGGGGCGGGAGGGGACGGACGGGGCGGGAGGGGACGGACGGGAGGGGGACGGACGGGGCGGGAGGGGACGGACGGGGCGGGAGGGGACGGACGGGAGGGGGACGGACGGGGCGGGAGGGGACGGACGGGAGGGGGACGGACGGGGCGGGTAGGGGACGGACGGGGCGGGAGGGGATGGACGGGAGGGGGACGGACGGGGCGGGAGGGGACGGACGGGAGGGGGACGGACGGGACGGGAGGGGGACGGACGGGGCGGGAGGGGACGGACGGGAGGGGACGGACGGGGCGGGAGGGGACGGACGGGAGGGGGACGGGGCGGGAGGGGGGGGACGGTCGGGGTGGGAGGGGACGGACGGGAGGGGGACGGATGGGGCGGGAGGGGACGGGGCGGGATGGGGGGGACGGACGGGGCGGGAGGGGACCGGGCGGGAGGGGGACGGACGGGGCTGGAGGGGACGGGGCGGGAGGGGACGGGGCGGGAGGGGGGGGACGGACGGGGCGGGAGGGGGGGACAGATGGGGCGGGAGTGGGGGGCACGGACGGGGCGGGAGTGGGGGGCACAGACGGGGCGGGAGGGGGACAGATGGGGCGGGAGTGGGGGGCACGGACGGGGTGGGAGTGGGGGGCACGGACGGGGCGGGAGGGGGACACACGGGGCGGGAGGGGGACAGATGGGGCGGGAGTGGGGGGCACGGACGGGGCGG